TACAAAAATAAACATGTATATATATATATNTATATATTATTTTTTTTATTATACATGGCATTAAATTTTTTTTAGAAATTATGTTTTTATTTAAGAACGATTTTGAAAATATCAAAATAAAAGGTTTTAGTTACATAATTTTGTTTATTGGACACAATAATTTTTTTAAACAATTAATTCTTGATTGATCTTCAAGAATCCAACAAATTGTCGAAATCTGTTTAACTTATGTTTATAATTATTTGTTTAGATGCTTTCTGTGTCAAAGAATTAAACGTTACGAAGATAGAGAATGAAATAATCAATCAGGGAAATGAATAAATGTTCAAGGCAGAAAAGTGCATTTTTGAAATTTAACAAGAACAGTGTAAAATAAATATGAAAGGGAAGAAGATTCAGACAGTCCGATCTATTGAGGAAGACACTACTAATATTTATACTTTTTTTATTTAAACATATTTGCATTCTTTTAGAAAATAAATTCTGTATAGTTTATTAAATTCACTAATTTCGTGGTCCACTTGACCAATTAATTGTAATATATTAATTGGTCAAGCGGACCACGAAATTAGTAAATTTAATGAATTTAGATGAAGTATACTTCACTAAAGCTCTCCGTGGCCATTTCATTTGTCGCCGAGAATCCAATCTGATTACATGACATTTGAAAAATGGCAAAAAGGAGGGAAAATTCAAAAGGTGGGGCTGAGATGGGAAGTTAGTGTCCGAATGGATCGAGGTCACGATAGCTCAAGTGGTAGAGCAGCGGCGTATCTAGGTTCGAATCCCGCTCCTGCCATTGACTTTTTTATCTCAACTTAAAAAAATTTTAATTAATTGTCTGTACAGTTTATTGAAATTAGTATCTTTTTTAATTAATTTTATTTTGAACAAAATACAATTTTTATTTGTTATACTTAACAATATAAAATATAAAATCAAATCAAATATATAAAATACTTACAAATTTACGCTCTACTTTATTTCTCTATCTTTACATGCAGTGTTATTTTTTGGGCACAAAAAAGTGTAATTTAAATAACCTATATATAGCTTATAAAAGTACACCTGTTTGTTGTATGTTAGGTACGTATAATCCGAAAGAGAAAATTTACAGTGAGGATTCCTGCCCCGATAGCTCTATACAACAAATGTTTAAAAATAAAATAAAATTACTTCCTATTGTCAGACGATGTGCTTCTGGTGTTAAAATGTTTACAAAGAGTTCTTGCTTTTTTAAGATCAGAAATAAAAAAATGTTTTGATAGCTCAAAATGATGTGATTAATGATTACATCTTCAAAATCATCATCAAACGTTGCACAGTGAAAATCTTTCCCAATAAAAGATGTAATTAGCTAGTTTTATTTCAATTCCACTGCTAAATTTACTTTTCTTTTTAATTTTTTTTTTAAGATTTCCCAACAGGAAAGTTCTTTTCAATCCATGGGGTGGCAGTGCTAAAGAATAAACTCTTTTCTAAATACTATGTGTTTGAATTTACAGCCTTACAGTGATGAGACGCTGTTGCGTTGTATCTAAAAGTTGAAATTTTATTATGTTTTAAAATTTAAAATGGTAGGTGGCCCCAACGGTTTAGCTGTTAACACGGCGTTCAACACTGTAAGGTGAAAAAAAGTTCATTTGTAAGTATGTCGGGTTCGAATTCAGTGACAGTGCACCCGACATATTTAAAAATGAGCTTTTTTCCAAAACGACCTCCACCTCGTAGTTGAAATAACCTTGTAAAAAAGTAATGATAATTCAATAACCTACCGTTATGACAAACCGTGAGAAACATAACGGAACATGCCGTTTCATTTTGAAATCACAAAATAAAACTGCAAATTTTTGGTTGTTTATTTTTTTTATTTTTGACATGAAATCATTCGTTCGTCGATATATCATCAAAACTTCACAATATCGGTGTACGAAAAATTCGCATAATTTCAGATGATGCTTTTGGAATACTGTGCATCCGAAAGCATCTGTCAATCATTCTTTTGACGACGGGACGACGGATGATGTTTGATAAAGGGATCGTTCAATGGTTTTGTCATGTTCGTTCCCAAAAAAGTACCAGCGTCAGGGACAATGAACCGTGCAAAACCACTCGACACCGCGAGAGAAGTTGGAGCTTTCGGGCACATTATATTTTTACTTTTTGCATAATAAATAAGCCGTTTTTAGTTTATAAATTAAATTCATTGTCACATACTTTTAAATGCAATAATGAGGAGATTTTATATAATTTTAAATTAAATATTTTGATTTATATAATTTTATATTATTAATTTTGATTAAAAAATATATTTTTTACTTTTATTATCAAAACATCAAATTTAAATGCTTAAACTGTATTATTGACTATTTATTCTGTTGCATCAGTAAAATTTCTTTTACTGCTTTTTCATTCTGGAAAAAAAAGCTTTATAAATAAAACCTATAAAAGATTATATTAAAATTTTCATTTAAATATTGGGTCTACCTCCATAATGACTTTGGTATATAACATCAACACTCTTGTTAATAAAACGGGTTGTTCAAGTAGGCAGAGATGAATTTTTCAATGAGGTTCTAAGGATCGTTAAGCTCGTGGGGGACATGGACCAAGTTGCTCACCCAGAACATCTAGTAAATTATCATTTTAAGCTGCAGCCGGCGACTGTACTTTAAATAATGGACTACTAGTCGACAGATCTCCGTAATTTCCATGGACTTAGTAATTGACTAGGTCTTCTGTAGGTAGCCTGGAATTTAAGGTTAGAAGAAAACATTTTATTTTCTATATGGATAGTCCTTTTACAAATATTTGATTTCCTAAATAAAATATTTTATTTATAGTTATAATTGACTATTAAACACACTAAGTAACTTTTTAAAAAAATGAACACTATTGTGTTGTTATACAATCACTGTATATTAATTGTATCATTCCATTATACAAATGCCATCGCAAAATAATTCAATAAATTTTATTTGAGAAAAACTTGAACAAACGGTTCTTCAGTGAGGTCACAACAGAAACAACAATTCTTTACGTTTTTGCCGAGCTTTCGACGATTATATCGTCATCATCAGGGCCTTTATTTAAGGAAAATATCGGAGTTAGAACATGTCATATCATTTAAAAAACAAAATTACAAAAAACAATTATTTATCTTACTTTAACTCGATGAGTGTTGAAATATAATCTGGAGAACAAGAAACTGCATTTATAATAAGATAATATAATAAAATTACTTTTTTTTCGTCAGGTACATTAGAATATCACATTTAAGATTAGTTAAGCGTTTTTAAATTGTATAATATATATACAGGGTGAATTGCTACTCGTGCTACAAACTTCTCCAGTAGATTCTTCACCCTAAAATGAACAAAAAAGTTCATATTGTCCATGGTCCGATNCGGACCATGGACAATATGAACTTTTTTGTTCATTTTAGGGTGAAGAATCTACTGGAGAAGTTTGTAGCACGAGTAGCAATTCACCCTGTATATATAGATAGATAGATAGATAGATAGAAAAAAACGTAACTAATCATAAATGTAATATTCTATTGTACCTGAGGAAACAGACTCTCGGCTAGTAGATCCCACGGTCGTGGGTTCGATCCCCACCGTCGCCTCTGGACTTTTCTGGCGTCTAAGGGGACCGGTGACCGCAATTGAAAAAAATTGACACGGCACTCATCAATGGAAGAGCCGGGATCGGATCTCAGCGACCCTGAGTTTGGTCCCAACCCTCTTCAAAATGAGTTTCTTCGATGGAAGAACACCTGTACAACGGGGGCTCAAGTTCACATTTGTGTTCTGAGCCCTCCCCCAAAATATGGAGCCAGGGATAAAAGTACAATAAGCTGTTCAGCTCAGCTTCAGTGCTCAGGAGGGAGCTCCTCCAGTCCCTGGTATCCATTAAAAAAATATATTAAAAAATAGTTACGTGTAACCGAGGTACCCTAACCTGTAGGACAACGTTGTGGTTTTAAATAGTTTTGTATTATATTGTTTTATTGTTTTAATTAACTCCATACTGTTCATTGTCTAGATACAGAACTTCACTTAATTTTAGGTATTCTTGATCCTAAATTCCTTAATTTCTAAATTAAAAAGGCCCTGATGATGATGATATAATAATCGAAAACTGGGTAAAAACCTAAAGAATTGTCGTTTTTGTTGTGACCTCGCTGAAGATCCTTTTGTTCAAGTTGTTTAACAAACAGGTCGAAACATCATTTCATCTTTAACATTTGGGAAAAGTTCTCTATTATCAGCTAATAATGCAAATTGATATTTTTTACGTAAAACAACAAATAGCTTAGTTTAGCTTAGATTTTGAACAGATTATGTTATGAAAAACTCTGTTAAAATTTAATTAACAAATTGATTTCTACAGAATAAAGCTAGGCTTAAACCATTAGAAAAATAATGTTTTCATGGTTTGTGATTTATTAAAACAAAATTTTTGTTAATGGTTCATTCTGAATGATATAATTTAACGTTGTTGTAAATAAAACATCATCGTTTATTACATTTGCATTACATGGAATGAAACGATTATACGATTGGGTAGGCAATCCCGCTTGGGAAAACAGTTTTTGATATTTGCTCATCGTATTTGTGTTGTTTTAATTTGCTGTGAAAACAGATTACGTTATGCCATAAAACATAATCTATTTGACAAAGATAATGTCATTGGGTAATAAGATTAAAAACAACAACTGGAAAAAAATCACGTTTTCTTGTAATAAATATATTTACTATGACAGTTTTTTTAATCACTCATAGAGTTTATAATTTCAATCAAAACACGTGTCGTAACAAATTACACTTTACCATTTAAAACTACATTTAAAACCAGTAAGCACTAATCAACTACGTCTAAATAATTTAAAAATTGTAAAACAAAATTCACTATAACATTTTATTTTGTATATAATCGTTAAAAAAATAACAATAAAAATTAAATTCTGGTAGAAAACACACCAATCGAATTTTTAATATTTAGGATATGTTGACACAATTATTGCTGTAATTAAATATTTAAATTTACGTTAAATCTCGTATCAACTGAAGAACATCAAAATGGAAAGGGCCAACAATAGTTTACATTCTGCAGAGCCTGAAACAGAAAGTTTTGTCAATGTTAACACAATTTTAACAGTTAAATATCTACTATTTAATAACTAATATTTATCAAAGCAAGTACTATTTATCTCAATATTTATCAAAAGACACCATCGGAACTACTTATATTAGGAGATTACTTTAGGGGTAGGTCGATAGAGAAATATCTAGTTGTCCACCCAATAACCAGAGTTCGAGCAGTGTATATATGTGTGAATGTATTTATTTGTACGATTGTATTACAGATGTTAGTTTCGATAATATAGTGTTAGCTGTCGAAAGCCCCTAGGGCTTAACCCCGTTAGTACGGAAGCGGCGATTTCCTCAGCATCGGGCTCAAGGGAGATACTAGCGACCCTGCCGCATAACGGGGTTGGTGAACTCCCCTGATATATAGACCTTAGAGTCAGCACCTTGGGGAGTGACAACCCTTCAGGGTGAAATTCCAATTATTTATCTTACGATGTATTTATATTCAGGAGACGAAGACAAGTAAAACAAAGTTTATAGACATGCTTTTAGATAATTTAAAATGCTAATAAGTTTTGGTTTATGTTATAATTGGTTCATCGCAAATTGAACCTCATTCGATCATAACTTATTTATAAAAATGTTAATAATAATATTTATTAAATGTTAATTCGTTTTTAGAGGTCAATTGACCAAGATACATCGTTCAATTAATTATTCTTTCCATAAGGTCTTGGTTGAGATAAAAAAGTCAATGGCACAAGCGGGATTCGTCCCTACGACCTTCGTCTAAATACGCCGCTACTTTACCACTTGAGCTATCGTGACTTCGATCCTCTCGGTCACCAACTCTCTATCTCAACCTACAACCATTCGAATTTTCCCTCTTTTTGCCATTTTCAAATGTCGTGTAATCGGATTGGATTCTCAGCGACTTATGGAGTGGCCACGGGGAGCTGTTTTAGTGGTCTTCTATTACTATTATATACTAATTAAATAATATATATTATTAAATAATTATATGCTTTTACTACTAGTACTTTTACTACTTATTAATTCATTTACGTTTTAGTGGTCAATTGGCCAAGTTACATGTTTTAATTAATTATTCTTTCCATGTCTTGGTTGAGATGGGGAGTTGGAGAGAGTCCGAGAGGATCGAAGTCACGATAGCGCAAATGGGAGAGTAGCGTCGTATTTAGCCGAAGGTCGTAGGTTCGAATCCCGCTTGTGCCATTGACTTTTTTTTCTCAACCAAGACCTTACATGGAAAGAATAATTAATAGAATAGTATTTATGTTTAATTTTCATAGATTTTCTCTAAACTGATTCTTAATTTTTTTAATTCGTTTTTTAATTTAATTTATATGGCGTCTATTGAACTATATGTAAACAAAAATGGCAATAATAAAATAATAAATTTTTAGTGCCCATTGATAAAATCTGACCTATTTTATTAAAATGTACATTTCAATATGATTGTACGATTATTAGAAATACAAGTAATTAACACATAGTTAACCAATTAGAAATAATGTTGTAGGCTTAAAATATAACTGTATTTTTTCGTCAATAAGTTATGTTTATAAATAATTTTGAAAAGAGTGTAAATAGAATTAATAATGTGTTATTTGGGTGTGTGAAAAACAATTTTTGTTCTTACAAATTGGTTTGTCCTACTTAAAAGTAATGGACTTGGTTCTCGAATGCGGGATGGTAAAATATAGATGATATTCTCAGCTATACAGCTCACGTTTATCCAGCGCAACTGTATATAACATTAACCCCAAACAGGTTCTAAGTACAATTGAAGCGCTTAATATTCCAACAGTCTTTCTCTCCGCCCAGCACCATCACCGGCTTATAACTTTCACCCGTAAATAATTTATGAATAAGTAAAGAAAATAGTATAACAATGGATGAAAGGCATTGCCAGCCACCTTGGGGTTATTCATTCTGGCTTGAAAAATATACAGTATTCATTGTATTCGCTCACTTAACATTAAAGAAGATACTTATTTATACTTCCAACCTCTTTCACCGTCTTGTTCTTCCGCCAGTCCTTTCACGCTTTCAGCGGCAAGATTCTCTTTTTGTTTTAATTGAAAGACAGTTTTAAAACGGTTTATTCAGCTTTTAGAAGCGCAAGTTCAATGGTTATTATTGTCTGACATTAAAACATCATAATTATTCAATATATTGTTTATTCGTGTAGAGTTTGGTCTAATTTGCATAGCAACCAGATTTGTTATAAAAAATTCAAATTTCTTATCATATTTTCAATTCAAAGAAATCATAGATGAAAGTCAGCAAAAATCATAGGATTAAAATTCATTCAATACGTTTAAAATTGTTATCAATTTAAAAATACAACATAAATATGATTTTGTCATATCCTAAATAATTAATAGATACAACTCAAATTTCTAGTCATATTACAGCAATGTCTGGAATGATTTGTACCGGTTTGGAAGTCATTGAAGGCTAATTTTGTCAAGAAATCCCAAATCACAATATATATATATATATATATTCAAACGGTTGTAATTTAGTGGGTACTTCATATTAATGACAATGAGAATCATTTTGAATTATAGTAACTGTAATTGACTTAATCTAGTTCTCAAGAGATGGCTAAGTTCTCTGCATTACGAAGTTAAATCGAATGGGCTAGTTCTAAAACCAAATTAACCATAGGTCAAAGTCTCTGAATTCTATGGAAAGGAGACTGTCGCTGAATTAATTATTGATTATTAAGTGATGTTTGAGAATGAATTAACTATCATCACTTAACATTTATGTAGTAACTAAGCTTTGTGCGTCATTCAATTATTTTCATGAACGATTTATTGAAAACATATATTTTAATGAAAAGCAACAATATTTTTTGTGGATTTTATAATTTGTTTGCAGGATGGAAAATGTGAGTTTAATGGTTTCATATTGTTTATTTATTTCTTATTGAATCATTTTGATATAATTATTCAAGCTTTTGTACTTTTAACTTTAATAAAATTGTGTTTTATTGTGGGTTTGTCAATGTCAAGAAACTTCTAGCTTTAGACCACTTTTACAAAAGGCCAAATTTAACAATTTTTCTTTTATTATCAGAAAACACCATTAACTCAATTTTTTTCGAAATAAAATGAATTTCTGAATTTCTGTCATTTCGTTAAATGATTTGCAAGGAAACGTCCTAGCTATAATCATCTTTGAGCTGTTTAACTGAACATTTCAATTAATACATCGTCTTCACAAATGAATCAATACGTAATGATTAGAAATGTTCCTCTATGCTTGGTTTTTAATTTCAAAATATATAATGGATATGTAAAGAATATGCAATTTTTCTTTAATAGCCCACGAGGAATAGGGAGAGGTTACTTAATAAAAGCATACGTCAAATAAATTACACAGAAGACAAACACTTTGAGCCCTGAAGACGATAAAATAAATAAATCAATAAATTCAATAAATATCGATCTCAATAAAAGATCGAAACGTTGGAACGATAAAAAAAATGTTTTTCTGAAACCGACATCACACCCGACCGCATCTCACGATATCTGAATAACTATAAATTACACGTTTCTATAGTAACAATCTATGGTTATTAACAAATATTGAAGCAGTGAAACTTATTTTGCAGGTTATGAAAAGTTGTGTAGTTGGCTAAAGATCGATTACAAAAAATGTACACTCAGAAAGAGAGAGGAAAAAGAGGAAGAAGGATTAAAAATGACGTAAGGTTGGAAAAAATACTATAAACTAAATAGATAAAGAGATAAAGACAGAGGTAGATAGAGGGATAGATGCATATAGAGAGATATAGATACATGGATAAACAGATTGAAAGATATATATATATATATATATATATATATATATATATATATATATATATAGAGAGAGAGAGAGAGAGAGAGAGAGAGAGAGAGAATAAAGTAGTTAATGGCGAGAGAATAAAAATGAGAAAGTTAAGTGACAGACGAGGGCATGAGAATGACAGAAAAAATAGAGTGATAAATGACAATTATCAACAAAAAAAGAGAGAAAAATATAGATAAATACAGGGAGAAATAACGATATATATTCACAGAGATAGAAAGAGAAACATAATGAAAGCGGGTGATACAGAAATTATACATGTATTATCTGTTTAAAACTTTAGATTAAACACTATCAGTACTTGCGGCTAAATGAAGCTTATACCAACTAAAATAAATAAAAGTTTAGTCACTTTCTAATAGTTTCTTAAAAAGTTATTTTTACAGAAGCAGAAACACTAAGTAACTTTTATCTATTATTCTATTACCGAATTTTATTCGTATACCATATTGCTTTTTATAATATCTATTTGTTTTCCTTCATTTTCTTGTATTCGGTCAACAGTAGCTTATTATAAATATTTGTTTAATTAAGGAATTGTAATTAGGTTGAGTTTTACCAACGTTCCGACTTATTACAACTTTCTTTTTCACAAGTTTACTTTTCTTGTAATGTAATTATTTTATAAATTTAAAGGCTGAATAAAAACTTTTTGAATAATATTTTGCTATTTTGGTTTTAGATAAATGATTAACCGTTGGAATCGTTTTGACGCATCAACAAAGCCTTACGGTGTTATCAAGAACAAACGAGAGGTTTATTCAGCTGCTTTTCCTTGAAAGCTGCATTTTTCAAGTTGTTTTGCTTTCCATATTTGATGCTACTATCCCCGACAGGAAACAATTTTTTGTAAGAAATCTCTCAATTTTTACTGTTTGATTTTTTTTTTTTTCAGTACACACGTAAAAATGGCTTAATTATGGTTTATTTAGACATTTTATCATTACTGGAACATAACAACGCCAATTATCTTTTGTTCTACAGATTTTGTCTTGATAGTAATAAAATTAATTAACCGTTATTTTCTTTATTTTTAATGTCTTAACATCCGTTCGAAGCGTTGGCATTTAATACAGATTGAAAGATGAAAATACTTAGAGAAGGGTTACATTCCCTAGGATTATAATTGCGATGGGG